GGGGGGGGGGGGGGGGGCATGATGTTTCACAGGGCGGGCACCACAGCAGCAAAGGCTGTCTTCCTGGGCCCCACCAGGTGACATTCTTCCAACAGATGGGACCTGTGACATGCCTCTCCTGCCATTTAATGCAGTCCATTAACACCTGAAAGAACATGGGTTCTCTAGGAATATGCAAAATGTTTTAGCAAGGAATATTCCAATCTTGGAGTGGCCCATGCTGAGTGCTGCAGAAGCAGTCCAATCTTGGAATGCGCCATTCTCAGATCAGAACGTTTCACCCCATTCCTAAGGTTCTGCGTCCCACCAAGGACTTCCAGTGCTAATTTGACTGCCTTCCAATTTGTAAAACTTACACAATAGAAATAAGAGCATTTCAGAAGCCATAAGGCTCTGTTGGATTTGAAACAAATGAACATAACCATTTCTTTGAAACTTACTCAAGTATGAAGATACTCATTAACCTTTAATATTTTGTTATTTTCAATCCACTCTTGTCTTACTCCTATAGTCTTTTATGGAGGTAGCACACCTAAAGGTACTATTCTCATGGGAAAGGTGACACCTCATCTATGAGGCATTTGAGCCTCTAAAAGCATTTCTAGTCTGTATTTTATTCAGCAGTTACAGCCCTGGCTAACAACTTGGCTGAAAGACACATCAAGGATTTGCCACAGCACAGCAGGATAAATTTCACCCTTGCTTTAAGCCAACATATGTTTGGTTTCAGCTCATTGCACTATAACTAACTCTAACTCTAACCACTGTGGTTAGCAAACCATGGCATTGCAAGCCAGGTCACTGTGACTTGCTCAACAAACATGATTTAAATTAATCATGGTTTAGTGCAATGTATTAACTTAGCCGACTTTACTTTCCTAAATATTACTGTCTGCTTTGTCCCAATTCTTCCTCTTCCCAGCAAATGAGAACAAGACCATGAACATATGCTGGTTTCTTCTTAAAGGAAGTTGCTCAGAAATCTATGAGACCTACTTCTGAAATAAATAACTAGGATTAAGCATCAGGAAATATAGGCTGTCATGACTCACCTAAGTTGCTATCAATTTTCTGATGGCAAGCGCGGAGATGTTGATTCCTAGGGTATCGATCAGGGTGGGATGAAGAATCTGAACTGGTTCCACTGGAACTAAACTCTAGAAAGAGAGAAAAAAATGACAGCTCTTTAAACATCCAACATCAAGCTCAATCAAAACTTTTAAAAACTAAGTCATATTCAAGGGCCTATCTTGTATGAGATTAGCATACATTCCTGTCAAAATAAACCAGGATTCATTTCTGATTAATAAATACAACAGGTCTACATGTAAAGCTCGGTTGCCTAAAATAATGCTTATAATCATCAAGTTCTGTGACATGCAGATAACCTAATAAGCAAGATAAAACAAACCTGAGTTATCCAACTTCCGTAAATTTGGGTGACTCTCCTGGTACTTTGACTCCTGTTCTTTACTGACAGATAACGCTTCTTTTAATCTAGACAGAGAGAGAAAAAGGAATTTCCCACATTCAGCATTTACTGCTTCACTTGCTTCCGAACTGAAATAGGCTTTGCGTTAGGTTTTTCTTTCTGCTATATTTCAGCATTAAACATTTTATGTACTGTGGGATAAAAATAAAGCAGCCACTCAAGCCGATAACATCCTCTCGGTTTAAACCACAAATCCACAAAAAATTGTTGGAGGTCTTGCACACTTCAGGTAGAGATTACTGTTTTGTTTCTTACCCCGCTCTAAAAGAAAGGTGCCAGACAGATCTAAACCTGACATTCAAGCAAAATGTCACTTGGGCATGGACTTCCTGCTTCCTTAGAAGCAAACCTTGATTGTTTACCTGTTGGTTCCTTGATACTCAGAGGCCCCATTCTGCTCCGGCTTGATCTCTTGTGGCTTGGCTTTGAAGTAATTGACAAGGCCGCCAAAGACACTCTTAATGCTATTAATATGTTTTTGACTCGTCTTTAAATCTTGATCCATTTTATCCACCATGCGTTCAGTACGCTTGAGGGCCTCCCCTTGCCGCACAAGTTCCTGCCAAGAGCAACAGAGTCTTTCAAAAAAAAAAAAAAAAAAATCCTGAAAAAGGGATGCTGATACTTTAACTCCCCAATGAAAGAGATTTTACACAAAAGGGATATGACTCTCTCTTTAGTAAGCTAAAGCAGATCACTGAGGGGACAATATGAAACATAATGGTCATTAAAAATCTATATCATTTAGACAAAAACGTTAGAATGTTTATGACGCAGAGATTCAGACCTAAGTATGGTTTACGTACAATTCTTTAGTCACATGGACTCCTTTCTGCTATTTTTTTTCTAACCTGCTTTATACAGCGCCCTAAGTTATCAGATCATGTCTTTGGTTTAACCCAATGCATAAAGCCAGCTATTATGACAGGCTTTGCAGCTTAGCATTATGCAAAACCAGCCAATTGTGGTTTATTCAGCAGTTAAGACAACCATGGTTTAGCATGTGTGACCCCAGTTTCATTGTCTGGAACATTTGGCAGTCGAGATGTCTATCCCTTTTTTTTAAAGACTTTGGCCAATCTCCCTCTTCTATGATCACAAGACTCTTTAATTCAGATTTGATTATCTTAACGCAGCATGGATTGTTCTGATTCTGATTTGTGTCGTTAAGAAAAAAAATCACTTTCATAAAATCATACGTAGTTTCTCTACAATCAGCACTAAGAAAACCCCTTCAACTTTTTCTCATTTGACCTGAGCTTACTGTGTATAAAATGACACGCTGTCTTTGAATAAAATACTTTAGCCTTACTTACATAGCATGCAGATACCGAAAATTATTTCTTCAAGATTTCTGTTTACCTCTGATGTGGCTATTCCCACATGTTCAGACTCATAAATGAGAGACAGCGAGCGATTACTGCTATCTAGAGTAGCTTCGGAGCGTCTCATGACCTCCTGTTGTAAATATCTTTGTCTATCTGGACCTTCTCTTGCAGGCTCATCACGTTCATTCCACTTTACTGGTTTGAAGTCATCCTCATCCTCATCAAAAGGATTGCAACTTTTGGGGAAAGCCGACATAGCTGCAGCTCTAAGTTCAGATTTCCTCTATTTATAATGTAGGTTAATAAGGACAGAATCAAGCCGATGTTGTTCAGATACAGACGGAGTCCTTCATGTAAAAGGATCAATGGCTATGGGATGAAAAGCCAAAATCTGCAAGAGAAACAATTTCCATCGTGAAACATAAACAGAGCATCAACTTGCTTGACTGCACACTTCTGTGGAAACTTCCAAGAATACCAAACAATTAGGAGTTCTCCTCTCATTACACGGAACCAGCATAGGGTATTTTTGTTCCACCTATCTTCCAATTTGCCAAAAGGGAAATCAGTTATCTGGTTACGAAACAGCAGACAATTTCATGCAATCCAAACTGAACCAGCCAAGCCACGTGTCTTGCTGTTCCCTGTAACAGACAACAAATTCATCTTTCCAGTTGTCTTGAAAGTGCTTTGCGGGCAGTTTTCCACAGCTGGCGTAGTTGAAGCCATGCTGGAAGTGGAAAGTCAAATCCAATGCTATTCTTAGGGAAGGCCGAAGACATTCTGTTCCTAGGGCAAACGATTACTTGCTTCTTATTGAATGAGTCAATATCCAGAATACCTGAGTCAATAGGTTGGCATCTAAAGCAGAAAGAAATCCAGAAGTATTTCTCCATCACAACAATTAAAAAAAAAACAACTATTAACAATTTGCTACCTGGTCACAATAACCTCATTGGGCAACCAATTTTAGATCTCTCATTGAAATTCTATTTACTGTATATACATGTCTCAGTTTTAATTTGAAATAGTCCCAAAGTGAAGAGAAGCTTGTTCAAAATTCGACATTTCCTCTTCTCTTAAAGTTAACTGAAAAAGGCAGAATGTAAGTGTATAACTAAGCAATCATCACAGCATGTTGACAGAACCAGTCTTGCAGAATTTAAAGCACTACTGTAGGTTCTGTCCCCATGAGAAATAACACCCCATTTTGCAAAATCATCAACATTCTGCTTTTACTATTTGAAGAGAACTTAACAGAATATATCAAGATTCTTTAGCAGGACAACAAATTACAAACATACAAGCACTTATCGACAGAGGAAGCCACAAAATTCCTGGGAAGGACTCTGCATTTAATCATCAACCACTGCAGAATAAAGGCACTGAGCTGTACCTTCAAGCAGTGTTTCAGCAGCATATCTTGCTTATCCCCTTTGATTTTAACTGAGCCAAAGTGCTTATTCTTCAAATCCTTTCCCAGCTTGGAACCGGATTAGAGATCTCCATAGGTTCCTGCCCAGATTTCAGAATCATCTTCTGTACCGTTTTTCCAACACAGAAAATAGTCTTTTGATGTCTGAGACGATGTTGCTTCTGTGTAAGAGGCCCGTCCTTACTCCCCAAGGCTATTCAACCTGTCGCTGCTTCAAAGGATATTTTTAAAACATACAGCTCCAAAACTGTTGTTAATTTGACCTCGTCTAGTATTTTAATTTATTGTTATTGCAAGCCACGAGGCCAAACGTCCCACCCCCCAAGGTGAGCTCAGTTCCAACCCTACTGGCATTTAGGAAATCCCTGAAAACATGTTTTTTTTTCAGCAGGCTTGGGGATCTCAGAGAAATGGGGAACCCGCGAGATGGTTACCCTGTGTCTAGGATACTGGGCTGTATTCCCGCGGTTTTGTGTTGAAGAGTTTTGGTTTTTAACTGTTTTAACTGGTTGTTTATCGTACGCCACCCAGAGTCATGTCTGTGAGATGGCCGGCTATATAAATCTGACAAATCAATGAGTAAATAAACTAACCAAAGGCTCTTCAGACAAATGCAACCTGCAGGGGGTTGATGGGAACAAATCTGAAGGATGCCAGGTGGCCTGGCCAGACTGGCTGTGGATGATGGGCAGTACAGTCCAGCATAAGTGGAAATCACCAAATTGGGGAAGACTCTAGTCAGTAATGGGGTTATTCAACCTAGACCCCTCACTCTCAACCTTCATTCTCTGCCAGGGGGCCCCATGGATGACCTTGAGGCCGTCACTCTCAGCCCAGCCTACCTCTCGGGGCCGTTGTGGGAACACGATCATGGGAGACCCCCCAGAACGCCCAAAGAGGGAAGGTCTATAAATATGGTATAATTAAAAACTCGAAAAGGCCCCTTAAACCTAAAAATCCGCCTCCTGAGAGGACAAGCAAGCGCGACTCCCCCTCAGCCACCCCTTCTCTCAGCCCAACCTACCTCGCAGGGTTGTTGTAACGTTGAAGCGCCCGACGGGGAAGAAAAGGCCCCGAGGAAGGCCACGTCCGTTGCCCGGAGTCCCCCGGAAGACAGGCGGCGGCAAACCGACGAAGCGGGGTCCCAGCCCGGCGCCTCCCTCAGCCGCCACTCACCGCCGGCCGCGGCTGCCTGGCCGCTTCCTCACTTCCGGTCACGAGGGAGGCGGCCGCCGCCGCCGGGTCGAACCATCCCGGGATCAGGGGGTGGAGCTGCAGGAGGGGAGAGATAAAGATGGGCGCGCCTGGGACGAACCATTCTCCGTCCTCCGGAAGGGGTGGGCACAAAGGGTGTCGATCCAACTTCGCCCTTTTCGCGAAAGGGGGAACCTGGCAGGGGCCCAGTTCATCTTTGCATTCTTTCAGGCTTTTTTTCCCTAAGTGTTGGACCTGGCCTAAAGGGCTTTGTCAAAGTTTTTTCCTATGCTTATATATTCCTCCCCCTCCAGACGGCAAAACCTTTGGAGCCCTATAAAATGGTTACATATTAACCCTCCCTCTCTTCCAGGATCCAGCTGAGTTGCGAATGTCAAAATAAATTAATAAACGGGCAATCAGATCGCACTTCAAACATTCAGATGTTACCTTCATAGTCACAAACGCTTGAACTGCATAGAAAAGAGAGTTCTTTAGCACTACAACTCCCAAAATTCCTTACTGTCCCCAATTCCCAGAATCCCCTATTGTCCCCCCCTTTTCTGCCCGGCTTATAAAGAAGCTGCCCTCAGAAACTTCTGGAAGAACAAGAAGTTACCCCCGCCTATTCCCAAAGCACTTTAGAAAAGAGCTTCTGCCAGAGCCGCAAAACGGGCTTTAATCAGCTGGAGGAACGAGACCGCGGCAGCTCTCGCGAGAAGAGCCCGCCGCTCCTCTGGACCGGGGAGGGCGTGGCCCGCGCGAGGACCGCGGGGGGCGTGGCCCGCGCGAGGGGCGGGGCCCGGGCGTGAAGCTGAAGGCGGCTTCGCT